TCGATCAGTCTGTGGCACTGCTCAGGTGTTATGATAGCCCAGGTTGCTCTAATAGTGGCTTTTAGCTCTTCTGAATTGTTGGGTCTGGTGTATTGCATCTTCTTCTTCACAATACCCCATAGATTTTCTATGGGGTTAAGGTCAGGAGAGTTTGCTGGCCAATTAAGAACAGGGATACCATGGTCCTTCAACCAGGTACTGGTAGCTTTGGCACTGTGTGCAGGTGCCAAGTCCTGTTGGAAAATGAAATCTGCATCTCCAAAAAGTTGGTCAGCTGCAGGAAGCATGAAGTGCTCTAAAACTTCCTGGTATGTGGCTGCGTTGACCCTGGACCTCAGAAAACACAATGGACCAACACCAGCAGATGACATGGCACCCCAAACCATCACTGACTGTGGAAACTTTACACTGGACTTCAAGCAACGTGGATGAAGTGCCTCTCTTCTTTTCCTCCAGACTCTGGGACCTTGATTTCCAAAGGAAATGCAAAATTTACTTTCATCAGAGAACATGACTTTGGACCACTCACCAGCAGTCCAGTCCTGTTTCTCTTTAGCCCAGGCAAGACGCTTCTGACGCTGTCTGTGGTTCAAGAGTGGCTTGACACAAGGAATGCGACAGCAGAAACCCATGTCTTTCATACGTCTGTGTGTGGTGGTTCTTGAAGCACTCACTCCAGCTGCAGTCCACTCTTTGTGAATCTCCCCCACATTTTTGAATGGGTTTTGTTTCACAATCCTCTCCAGGGTGCGGTTATCTCTCTTGCTTGTACACTTTTTTCGACCACATCTTTTCCTTCCCTTCGCCTCTCTATTAATGTGCTTGGACACTGAGCTCTGTGAACAGCCAGCCTCTTTAGCGATGACCTTTTGTGTCTTGCCCTCCTTGTGCAAGGTGTCGATGGTCGTCTTTTGGACAACTGTCAAGTCAGCAGTCTTCCCCATGATTGTGTAGCCTATAGAACTAGACTGAAAGACCATTTAAAGGCTTTTGCAGGTGGTTTGAGTTAATTAGCTGATTAGAGTGTGGCACCAGGGGCCATCAATTTTGAACCTTTTCACAATATTCTAATTTTCTGATATGATGAATTTGAGATTTTCATTTGTTGTCATTTGTAATCATCAAAATTAAACAAAATAAACATCTGAAATATATGAGTTTGTATGTAATGTATGAATATAATATACAAGTTTCACTTTTTAAATGGAATTACTGAAATCAATCTACTTTTTCATGATATTCTAATTTTATGACCAGCACCTGTATAGTGAACTCAGTTAACTGACCGTTCAGAGAGATGATCACTGCTTTTTGCTCCATTGGTCACGTAACTCCTCCTCCACCGCGCGGTCTCTGCACCATATTCGTTATTAGTCAGGGTAGCGACAGCCTATGGCGGCAGCCGGCCGCTATGACAGCAAATCCCATAATGCTTTGTGAGGTGAGCTATCTGCTCACAGCATTTCAGGATATATCTAGTGGCCATGGATGATCACTGCTTTTCAAGGTGCATTGTGGGAAATTTCAAGTCCACTACTTTTTATCCACTGGACGTTTAGACACTCATTTAAAATGGCGCAATCACTATATAGTGCCCTATGTAGTGATGAGGGCGGACAATCGGACACAGCCCAGGGGTTCCAAAAATGGGGGCCGGGACCCAATGGAGGGCAGAAGGACATCAAGGCTGAATCCCAAACTGGCCCCTAAACACTAACCCTGAGCACTAACCCCCTGTTTATACTTTCCCGCAGAGGGTCCGCCACATTAAGCCAGCACTAATGCAGACTCACTATTTCCTTGTTCCGTTTGGCTCAGATCAGCTTTATAATCCTCTATTGCTGTTTTCCTTCCTTGAAAAGGCATTCCATCATGGCAGATAGCAGAACTTAGGACTGACTCTGGATTTAATGAAGTTCCACAAATATGAAAAACTCAGGGCAGATATTATTAGTAGTTTACAGATTTTATTAAGTGTTAGTTGTTGCCATGTGGCCAAGTTGTTCAGTAGGATGAGTCTCAAAGTAGAGCTGTGGTTTCTCTGTGGTAATAGATTAAACCTTAAATCTCTATTCTATAGTGAAAATGTGAGGAGAATCAAGGCTCTCCTATTTTCTTTTGGTTTGTTTTTAAATAAGAAATAATAACCACAATAGCTGTCCTTATTTTTTGTGATATTTCTATGCTGAAGTTCTGTCCAGGTGGTGTAGAATCCCGTAACTCCATCTCCACCGCACAGTGCCTGCTGCCATCTTTGTATTAGTCACCACTGTCGGGTGGCGACAGCGGGCCGCTGTGACAACAAATCCCATGATGCTTTGTAAGGAAAGCATTCTGGGATATATCTGCTCATCCAGTGACCATGGATGATCACTGCTTTTCAAGGTGCATTGTGGGAAATTTCAAGTCCACTATTCTTTCATCCGCTAGCCTTTCAGACACTCATTTAAAATGGCGTAATCACTATATAGGGCCCTATGTAGTGAAGGAAGGATGGATTTAGTTTATAAATATTCAGCATCTCTGGCGAGTGTGATATATTTTATTTTCATGCTTTATGCTTAACAACCTTTAATAAGTTGTTACATTCATGCTGATTTTGCACAGTTTCTATCTTAGTTAACATGCTGCTGTCATTCTGCACATCTCTGATGTTGCTGCTATTTTCAAATATCCATTACTGTAAAAATATCCATAGCTAGATATTAGTATTGTTTTCTCCAGGTGCACAGTTTATATTGTTAAAACCCTTTACAGTATTTTATTTTTTATCTCTCTTCACTATTATATTATTCTTACACATTTTTGTAAGGTCCTTATTCGTGTGACCATTTTTTTTCTATAATATTTTTTGCTGTTGTAAACCCAGAATTTCTCCATTGTGGGACAATAAAGGGATTTTCTATTCTATTCTATTCTTTTCTATTCTATTTTATTCTGTTGTATCTAGTAATTAGATGGATTAGAGCAGGGGTCTTCAACAGGGGGTCCGCAACCCCTAGGGGGTCCACGGAGGTACTGCACGGGGGTCACGAAAGTTTTGGTTAATTAGACTTTTTTTTTATATCCCTCCCTGCATTTTTTTCCACTAATTGAAATGTTTTTAAATACGCATTAACTCAAATTTAACAAACTGTAGTAAACAGATAAATGGAGGCAGAAGATGTCTTTCAGTCATCTATGCAAACATTCAGCAACACACAGGAGCTCTTTCAAGCTGGGCATCGTTTCACAATTTCATACAATATTTATATAATATATATAATTAGGGGGTCCCCGCTCCATCTCGCCATCAGTTTGGGGGTCCTTGGCCTGGAAAACATTGAAGACCCCTCGATTAGAGGATTGCTGTTGTCTTAAAGGTATTGTGGATGATTTTCTTTTTCTGGGTGGATCATCTAAATAAGTGGTCCTCCTTAATTTCAATCATTCTAGCCATAAGTTTACGTGAGGCCGTCCTATGTTCTCGTCCCCATCTCTTTCTGCACACGCGCGCTTTTAGGCGTATATGTGTGGTATAGAGAAAGTGCCTACAAAGAGTTTCAGAATAAGAGAAAGGCCTCAGAAGAGAGAAAAAAGACCAGAGTGTTTTTGGGAGATTCTTTCATGCGATGGCGTTCACTGAAATCACAGGTTGGTTTTCCCACTGATGCCTCTTTTGCAAAGTTTCTACTCGACAGGTGGAGTTTGGCTATTAGGAGAAATCCATTTCACATCACTGCTAGTCAAAATGATCTACCTCTTTATGTAACTTTCCAGAGAAAACAAGTTTATCTATTTTGTAATTTGCATGGTTAGTAGTTAAACGGTGGCCACAGATCCTTATTTACCTCACAAACATCCAAATTACTATTGCAAACAAAAACAAACAAGCATGTTATGGTTTTTTTATTTGTACCAGTTGTCTTATTTACAGGAAACTCTTTATGTATTAATATGGGTGAAATAAAAATGCACCCAAGCAGCCGTCTTATCATTGCATCCCTGCATCTCCATGAGGAGAAATGGGCTCTCGCACGTTTTTAATACTAGTTCCCTCATGGGAGCAGATACAGGGTTGTTCAGATGCACTTTTGGTGGTCAGGGCGGGTCTTTTAATAAATTCACAAAAATCCTCCACTGTACCTTTAAATGGGCTTTAGTATTCATTAGTATTCATATTTGAATACTAATTAACTGGAGTATAGAGACTGTAAAATGTGCCTTTAGCTAACAGAGCGACTCACTTAGAGCAGGAATTATAGCAAGATTGTAAAACAATATATAAACATTTTGCATTTAAGATAAAAATAACTTTTTCGTCTGTCAATAGTGGAAAAGTTTTATTTTCACCTGTTTTAATTTCATAAAAAGTCTTCTTTAAGGAACCTTTTGCTATCCAATTATTAATAATAAAAATAAAAATACCATATGCACCGTCAGCCACTGTTGTTCACAAAGTTTATTAGTGGAAAGTTGAGTGGGGGGAAAAGTGTTGTAGAGAAGGGTGTGAAAGCAACAGTGATAACTCCATCCCTGAGAGAAGATTTACGAGGTTTTAACTGAGGTAATGCTTTGCTTTGAAAGAAAACAAATATGCTAACACTTTATAAATCCCTGCTGAAAGAAACAAAGCATTAAAAGGTCAGCAATCTCTTGTTACTATAGATTTATATGTGTTGGTCGGGTTGCATGACTATTCTTACCTTAGGTTTGCATTGTTTTGTCTCCACTACATATTTCTCATCACTTTCTCTAGTAGAAATGTTGAAAAAAAATCTCTGATTTATTTACATGAGTAGTAAGAACAAAGAACCATGCTTGTGGTTATAGATTATGTCAGAATGCGGGCCAATTAACTTATCACTTGTGGTTTAAACACCAGATTAACACAGTCCTGCCTCCAGTGGATTGGCCCTTTGCTGCCCCATCTGTCTTCAGCTTGCCCTGCAAATCCAATTAAGTTCTTACAGTAAGTTCCCCCGGCTAAAAATAGTCGAAAACTCCAGAAAAGGCAGCACATGGCGTCATTAGGTGTGGGTGCAGAGGAAATGATGTTATGCGGCTGATTAGTTCTTCCTCTGGGAGACATGATTGTGACCATCACACTGATGGGACCATTGAGCGATGAGCTGCGATGACAGATGGGAGCGCTGGGATGGGGCAGAGGTGGTCGAAATGGCAGCGGGAGGTGTGTAGGAGGAGGTAGGATTAAGGTTCAGAGTGGCGGATGTTTTTTATACGACTACAAGGGCGTCTTTCCAGATACCTGATGAAATAAGGTAAGCTTCATAACTGGTAGAAAGCTTAGAAAAAGGGTTTAAGGGGGGATTATTTAATCTAAGTACAAGTGGGCAGAAGGAGGGTTCGGTCAACCAGGTTTCTGTGCGTTATCTTTAAGCTACGAGGTGTAACAAGTTAGTTATACAACAACCTCTAAACCCTGCAATAAATAAAACCTGATAGAGTTGTTTTTTTCACTGGATTAACAAATACCATCAGTGGGGATAGGAAACACCTGAATTATAATTTATACATCCCTTCAATCAGCAGCATAAACGGTTTATGTTTCTCCTCTGGTCATGGAAATCATCCTGATTCAACTATCCTACAATGTGTCCCAATGTTTAATTTATTGATTTATTGATAAAAGATAATAGATAAATGAAAATTTGGTTCATGTTTTATTCTTTCATCTACCCCTCCCACCAGATGTGATTATATGTCTCCCTGCATATTAAAAAGAGATTACAGGTGTTGAACTTTAGCCATGCAGGACTGATTTTATCAAATCACGGTATCGTCTGCATATTGAGTGACTTCTGGTTTAAAGAAGCTCCCAAATTTATAGGGTGAGTTTTCTTCCATTATTGCAAGCAAAGATAACATTTCATCAATGGAAATCTGAAAGAAAAAAATGTTAACTAGAAATAAAACTTTAAAAAACTTCTTAATGAAAAAAAGGTTTTGAGAGAAACTGTTTTCTTTGAAAAATACTATAAAAATAAATATTAAAAAAATCAATCTTTTACAGATTTAACATTTCATTTTATTTCATTACAGGTTTTATGTACGTTAGATTTTTTTTCAAATTTCTGTTTTCCAGATGACATTCTCTTGCCTTCTAAAAGCAGGCTTTCCTCTGTGTAAGAAGAAAACATGCGTTCCAATTGGTCTGCGGGACGTTAGCGGCAACATTTTGATTGGCCAACAGCGAGCATTTGGATTGGGCTAATAATGAAGAGAACGTCATCTGGAAAACACAGTTTGAAAAAAAAGAAAATATGAAACCAGTAAGAATAAATCTTTACAAATTTAATGTAAAAAGCCTAATACTAAAAATAAAATAAATAAAAAATATTAAGATATAAATGAAAAATTAAATAATTAGAAAAAGTAAAAACAGAAAAGTTCCTTAAATTAACATTTTTTTTTACATTTCTGGATTGAATTCTTTTCAAACATCTTTATACAAAAAGTGTTTTTTTTTTTTTATGTCCGCAAGTGTTCTTTTGCTGAAACAATAATGGGACAAACTTCACTCCATATAGATGGAACCATAGAAAGAGTCCAGCTAAATCAGAATCTCGCTCGTCTGTGATTTTCCTGATAGGTTTTCACAAAATCTGCTACAGTCAAGCACAGGTTCTGGGTTGGACCTTTTCCCTTTAAACCCCATGGCCGTGTAAAGCAGTGTTACCGTGCTGCTGGGGTAGATCTTCTCATGTCTTAATGCGATGGAGGAGGGTCATAGCAGGTAATGGTCTGAGGCACGCTCTCTGGGCCTGGGTCTATTGTCCCAGGCCCAGAACAGAGGGGGGCCCAAAACTGACACTCTGACCATTTAAAATTCCAGGCAGAAGTAATTTTTTTTAGAAAATACAGTATGTTTGAGTAGTAGACAGAGAGAGCGATAACAGAGAGGTGGAGGGGGTTTCTGCCCGACCGGACAGTCAGAGCATAGCGGCTCAGAGACGGATCAGGCTGTTAATTTCAATTATCCTTTGCTGTGGCCAACAAAATGACTCTGATCGAGTGAATGTGATGCGTTTAATAGCAAAAAGGAAATCAGAGACGGCAAACTATCTGCCATCAGATTCAGAGAGCAGAGAATTTCCAAAGTGTCTAACCAAAAAGACTGTGCTGTCCCGGGTCCCAGCAAAGCTGGCTTGCATTATACCATAACATTGATTATTTTCTATAAAAATAGAAAGTACAACTGATTAGAAAATGAAGAAATATTTATTTAATTTCCTTAACTTGAATATTTATGCTCATACATTTTATTCTTTTCCATTAGAATAAAAAAACAACATAAATATATTTCCTGGAAAGTCAATAAGCACCAAAATAAATACAAAATCAAATTAACTTTGTTTAAGTCCCTTATAAACACATCTAAACTTGTCAAATCAGAAATAATATTTAAAAAATAATCTTCCGATTCACTATTTCATTTTTACTTTGTGTTCATCATTCCCTGCGTTAATGAAACACCCGACCTTCTCCTTAATCCCCAGCACTGGGATATTTTAATAATTTATCCTTGACTGTTGCTGCTCTTGTGACCTTTATGTTTGCACCTGTCTTTCTGCTCTCACTCGCAGAGAAGTAGTCATCACCGATTCCCACGCTAGTCTTTCATGTAAATGTCCATTTGGAGCTTTTAAAAAATCTTTTTGGTTGATAAAGTCTTGGTTTATTTTGCATTTGAGTCTCTACAGAGCAACCCCATCCCAGCCCTATTTTATTGTATCTCGTTATCTAGGGATTAAAATATTAAATGTTTTCACATACCCCCTCGAATGCATTGGCAGACCACTAGGGGTACTAGTACCCCTGGTTGGGAAGCACAGCATTAAAGGAAAAGTTTGGTGATATTCAGAGTACTTCTGAAAGTACTTTAAATATGAAATTATTACATAATGTTCAATAAATTATAAGTGTTTTTAATTAACAGTAAGTTTCTCTGCAACATCAGAAAAATATCTTGCATCTTAAAGGAAGAGTCCGGTCAGCAATATCCCAATGGATCATTATCTCTACCTAAAACTAATACCTTCGCAGTGATTAATGAATTTAGAGTTAATCAGTGAAAAAATAAAAGCAATCATTTTAGCTCAAATATAGTAACCCCTCCTTCCTGCCATCTTCCAGCAGTGACGTCACGGTGCGGTAAGCCTAGCGCCATTCTCCCCGCTTTACAAGCTAAATCAATGGGAACTACTAGACACATCTGCAATCAACAACAATTATTGAAGATTTCCAGAGGCTTCACCATTGAAATTCACCAGAGCTATAGTGAAACTGACAATGCCCACGTGCATGGCAGCTGGATGCTGGAATACATCGGGTAAAAGTGGAAAAGAGTTATTTCACCTTTCTGATTACTGATCCTCCACGGACGGGTTGGTCGTTGGATCGCCAACTTGAAGAGGGAGGATTTGCCATCGAACGTCTGGCCAGAGAAAAAACCCGTCATATGTAGCCAACATTTGGAAGAAGAATGTTTTCAAGATGACTTGGATAATAGCGCATTGTGACAAACACCAGATACAGCACTGGGACTTGATCAACAGCCGATACCGCACCGTGACGTCACAAACCAGTAGGTGGCAGTAGTGTTCTTTGACAAACATGGATGCCTCCAGTAAAGCACATTCAAATGAGAATTACTCTGAATTAAAAACACTGATCATTTATTGAACAGGATGGAATAATTTCATATTCTCAATATGAACGGACTTTTACTTTAAATGTGAATTTTGGCCAATCTTCTTTCTTACCTCATTTACTTATATTCTAATTACTACACTATAAAATAGAACCCGTTCTGCATACAGAACATTCTTTAAACCTTTCTGGGAGGAAACACTAACAGATACTTGTGATAAAGTATGATTTTAGTGAGCTTTTTATATCCTGAATGTTTCTAATCACATTTCTTTCCCTTTTAATAACACAATTACCTGTTTGCTCTGGTTTATGTCTCCGTTAGTTTGACTATTATAAATTATCTACGGTCAGCTTATCAGGGGCAGAGGGGGCTTTATAGTGTCAGTAGAACCATGCTAATGATCTTCTGATGTCTTGATGAATCATAATGAGATGGAGGACATGGAAAGAACCTATATGAGGATATATGCGCATATATGAAACCTATATGCGTCATATATGTGCATATATATTATCATGTATGCACATATATGCTGTATATATGCGCATATATACAGCATATATGTGCATACATGATAATATATATGCACATATATGCTGCATATAGGCTAGATTGAGGTGCATATATGTGCATATATTTGCATATATATGTACATATATGCTGCATATAGGCTAGATTGAGGTGCATATATGCAAATATGATTATATATATATGCATATATGCTGCATATAGGCTAACTTGAGGGGCATATATCCACATATATGATAATATATATGCATTTATATGCTGGATATGCAAAATTGAGGTGCATATACAGGCCATAGGTCTCCGGTATTGCCTCTTTATATTCACATATAAGCCCTATACAGTATGTGTATGCAAGATGTTGACAGGATCTGGTCATTTTGTAGCTCATATCTCACTTTGGCAACTGTCATACATGATGACTAGCTAATTTACTATAATCAAGGCAAAAATTATGCAAGGACTTATGTATGTGCGAACACATGAAATTGGTATCTCTTGTAATTGGCATGTTATGGAATTTAACAATTGTGAGAAAAGTGAGAGGAAATGGAAAGCTATGATGTCTACATGTTTTCCTGAAACATTTACTAGGTCAATTCTTCTGTAAAGATAGTGGAAAAGAAGAGAATGTATAGCAAAACGGTTTGTCATTTTTTTATTTTGTAAATCAAGGGCCCGCCCCCCCATTTCAAGTCACTTCCAGATTCACATTACAGCTCACACATATCCACAAATTCACCATTACATCCACCAAATGCAATGCAAAATGAAATGTTTTCTGTATTGTTTTGATGCATTTTATAGATGAATTTTGCAGAAAGGTCATTAGAGTCTAAATGTATGACAAAAAAAGAAAGTACATAGAACATACATTCAAGTAATCATCATCCCACATCTATCTGAGCATTTCACTGTGGTTAATGAATTTGAAGACAATGTCAACATTTCTGTTCACAGTTTTAATGAACAGACACTTTTCTTTTATCTGAGATGCTTGTACAGCAACTAAAGGCCCAATACTTTTTCTTACAGGGATGAAATAACAAGGATTCTTAAATTGACTGCAGATGTCTTGTT